TAATATTTTAATTTATCACGTCATTTCTGCAGTTGACAAATGCTAGACACGATTTTGTTGTTACCTGCTTTGTTCTCATGAATTTAAAAACACCAAATTTATATATTTTTTTTGTCTCTTGGTCGTCAAGCTTAATTTTAAAAAAATATTAGTAATTATAATATAATTTAATAATTTATTAGGTAAATATTTTTTCTTAATAATTAAAACTTATTGATAATAAAATTTATATATTTATCTCATCTTTCAAAATTTTCTTTCATTTTATCCTACCCGAAAGCCATCTTTCTATTATCTCTTTCCTACTGTTATCACATGCAACATACATTCATAAAAAACATTGACAAAATTAACGTCAAATCACAATATAAATGATTAGATTCTCTAGATTAGGTTTGTTGGCCCAATTGTCTAACAGCGTCTCTGCACCATGTTATGCATGTTCGTATGCATGTATAGCTCCACAAATCATTTCAACTTTCACATCAGCACAAGCCACGGAAGTAAATACTTACACATTGCCAATGAAGTGGGCCACCAATTTTGAAAATGCTGGACGTAGGACTTCTTTTCAAAATTCAAAGGCAATGCTGCAAGTAATTAATATAAAATTTTGATTTAGGGAAAGCTTTGGTAATTACTTAAAAAACTCTACGTTGGATGCAATCCATCAACTTTGTATGTGTCACATGGTTAACTGTCCCTATATAAAAGGATGTTGGGCTTCTCTCTGGTGATGCAGGACATACAATACAATTTGCCTAGAAATCTAAAGAGATTAACAAATCTCCAGCCAGAAGGTCAAAATGGCATGTGCTTCCCTACTTCCACCTGCTGCAAGAAGGTATATATATTTTATTAGCTCATATATATTACTGATCAATCAATATGTGTTCCTATATTTATTGTTATGTTTTACATATCTATATTGAGTTTTATTTAAAAAGAGATATCTTTGTTATTGTATCAACCTTCATATTCGGTTTATCTATTTTTTTTTCATTAAAAATATTTTTCAGTAAACTTATAATAATCATTAACTTGTTCAAATAGTTCATAAATTTCTAATTATTTCTCAAAAACACAAATATCATCAATAAAGAATATATTAGACATTAATAAAAAAATACTAAATAAGATCTGAACCCTTATTTTTCTTTCCAAGGGTAAGTTATATTTTATATTATTTTTTTCAATCAAATCTGATATTTTATTATCACGGAATTGATACAATACTTTGGCAAAAGCCAAGCGTGTGGCCTAAGAGACCAAACAGACAGTAACCCAACGAGGTTCTGTCCATACAAATGCACCTAGTGGAAAACAGATTCTTACACCAGAAAAAATTTACACAGAATAGCACAATATCATCAGGAAGTATAAAGCAACGTCACAAGTATGCAACACAGCATTAACCCGAGAGTCACCGGAAGCATAGCATGCTTGGCACCAAATCATACACAGCTTTTCAAGCGAGCAATAAAATAAATCCATAGGAAAACCCGGGAGGCAACGCAATAGTCAGATTTGACACCAGACATAGAACATCTCACTCCCGATCCAATGTTTTTGAGTCGAAGTTTCAAGTTTTAACTATTAATTCAATATTTAAGTATTTCCTTAACACATAAAATTGTAACTTATTTCTATCAATAATGCTAGTTTGTTTTTTTTGAAATTTAATTAATTGTGCTAGTTACTGACTATTGATAATTACATGGGTTTTTTTTTTTTTTTTGAGAATTGTTCTTAGGCTAGAAGGCAAGGTGGCATTGATCACAGGAGGTGCCAGGGGCATTGGTGAGTGCATTGCAAGAGTCTTTTGCAAGCACGGAGCTAAAGTTATCATTGCTGACATTCAAGATGAATTAGGCCAATCCGTATGCAAAGATATTGGTCTTGCAGTTGCATCCTTCGTGCATTGCGACGTAGTCAAAGAATCTGATGTCGAAATTGCAGTCAACACCGTAATCTGCTTACATGGAAAGCTCGATATAATGGTAAACAATGCTGTTGTCATTGACGACCCCAAACCAAGCATCTTAGAGAATAATGTGGCTGATTTTGAGCGTGTCATTAGCGTTAACTTGACAGGCGTTTTCTTGGGAACTAAGCATGCGGCTCGAGTAATGATTCCTGCAAGAAAAGGCAGCATAATTTCACTGGGTAGCGTTTCATCAAGTGTCGGTGGGGTTGCTTCTCATGCATACACGAGTTCAAAGCATGCCATTTTAGGACTCACCAAAAACGTCGCAGCAGAGCTCGGGAGGTTTGGGATTCGAGTGAACTGCTTATCTTCCTACTTCATTGCAACAGAGTTGGCTATTAATTTCTTCAAGCTGGATACAGATGAACGCTCTCGTGTTTATTCTAACCTGAAAGGGGTCGTTCTTCAACAGGAAGATGTGGCTGACGCTGCACTGTACCTGGGTTCTGACGAGTCCAAGTATGTGAGTGGGCACAATCTTGCAGTGGACGGAGGTTTTACCACTATCAATCCAGCTTTTGGCTTGTTTGCGTCATCTCAGTAGATTTTCTCGTCAGCTTTGATGCTTCATTGCCAGCTAGTTCACAGGGTCGAAGCTTTTCTAGTTAAACTTATGCCGCTTTACTTCCTTGCCCGAGATGCTCATTTGAAAAAGTAGAGTTTATCTTTTCCTGATAAACAGCAGTGTCATTTTAGTAGATATGGTATTGTCACCATCAATAAGTAGAAAATATTGTTAATAACGGCGTCGTCCCTGGATACTGTTACCATCAGAGGACTGAAGAATAAAAATTTCAAGAGTACTTTTGTTTTATTTTTGCCTTTTTTTTTTCTATTGATTATATACTTTTTGCTGTTTTTCTGATACCAAACAAAAATTTTATTGAAGCAAGGCATGTTTGCCCTGAATATTCACAGAAATTGATATTTTATGCAACTACAATGTATCAAAATTGTTCTCATATTGTACATGTAAATCCTCTCAAACTCATAGAAGGGGGCAGGTTAATTAATGGAAAATGATAAGAAAAATTAGAGCCAAGCAAAAGTGATAATGTAGGATAAGCACAGGACAAAAGATTAAAACACAGCTATTTTATGGGGAAGTTCTGGGTGCAAGGTAGGCACTAATACTATCTGCAATTAGCACCAACAGCTTCATGGATAGATTTGAAACCATCCCTCTCTAGGCACTCAGCAAGTTCAGCCTGCAAAAACAGCACAATCACAATAAGCCAAACAAAATATTTAACAAAAACAATAATTCATCCATTTGAGCATTGGCCCTACCCGACAACTTAATAATCCCAACCCAACATCGGCCCTCCATAAATTGAAGATACCCCAAAAGCATACAAATTGAATGCAAAATCCAGGACTCAAGAAATATCCGTAACTTCTCTATTAAAATGACACTGATGAAACCTGAACTAGGATTAAGACATGAGCATTTACAGGATTATGATATCTCACAGAGTCCCAAAAAAGTTACAGATCCAAATAACAAACTGGTGACAGATATGTCATCAGAGAAGACGGCATATTCTGTCACGGTGTATAATGTTTTATACCCATTTGGATGTAAAACAGAAAGAAAATAAATAAATATAGAACTCAAAAACTTAAAGGAGAATACCTTCATTTGAGGAATTAAGGCAGGGCCTCCATATGCAAATGCAGTATAAAGCTGAACGAGAGTTGCTCCAGCCCTTATTTTATTGTATGCATCCTCACCACTATATTGAATGCATAAATCAAATTAATGGAGGAGATGAAAATAATAACAATAGCAGCAATGGTGATGGTGATGATGATAATAGTGACATCGTCGATATAATAAGATGAAGGTAATGATCACTCAGTATCCTGACTTTACCTGCTGATACCACCACAGCCTATTAATGGGATCTTTCCCTGGAAGAGAAAAATGCAGGCCAAACTTATAAGTTAAAAGATATGACCATTCAAGACACTAAATCACAAAGATGTTTAGAAATAGAATATATGACCATTAAAGCCAAAGCCCCATTACTTTATGGGAACTTTTTATTAAAATAGACAACATACCCTTGTTAGAATATACATTTCCTTTAAGACATTGGTTGACAAATTAAAGAGAGGCTTCCCGCTTAAGCCACCAGATTCCGCAGAGACTGGATTGTTATTTACAGGATCTGGTCTTGAAATGGTTGTGTTTGATATAATCTAGAAAACAGAGAAAGGAGCATGTCAGGGAAGAACAATAAAAGCAAGAGAAACAAAAAATTAATGCACACTGATAATATCTACTCTGAAACCTTATACAGAAAAAATGAAGTAAACAAAAAGGAAACTATGACATCACAGCTTCTTAAATCATACCATTATTAACATGTAGACTACTACTGAGCAGTGTTCTTTCATTGCATTTAGAAGAAATAATTCATTGGGAATATAATTCTTTAAGAAAAACAACTTTCTTTACAGATAAATGTAAGGACTAGAGTACAACTTGTTCCATTTGTCCAAAATGTTAGTGAAAGAACAAAATGGTCATATATGAATACAAACTATAAAAGCATATAAGTTAGAGATATGACTGAAATGCACCATCAAGTGAGAAAAGTCTAATCGCATAAGACATGGACAAGAAATATAGAAAATTTTAAAGGGGGAGAAAATTACCAATCCATCCAAGCGGAGGGCAAGAGCAACCTAAAATCAAAGAAAAAGAAGAATAAGAACATTATACAAGTAAGCGATGAAGTAGAATCTAAATGCAAATGGAACATACTGCTGCTATATCCTCAAGGTCTTCTTTAGATAAGTCTGGAGCAATTTTAACAAGCAATGGAGGAGGACCCTCCTCTCCCCATTGCATTTCATCACGAGCAGCTTGAACCTTTGATGAAAATGCAAAGCAAAGTTGAGAAGATCAAACTTCAGCTGTATTATATCAGAAAAGGATGATTAAGTTCAGAGCTAGAGATCTATACCTTCTTAACAAGATCCTTCAGCTGTTTCCTTCCCTGAAGCATACGCAATCCAGGAGTGTTTGGTGACGAAACATTAATAACCTTAGAAAGTTGTGCAAAAGGAGGTCAATATTATGGCATCTAAACAATTGAATTGTACGGAAGTTTTAAACAAAGAAAAACTCAAGGAAAACTTCTTGTAGTACTATTAAAACACCCCTCCCCCCAACCCCCGGGCGGTTATATCAGAAAACATATGAATATTTTGAAAAATATGTATCCACCTCCCTCCTCAAAGAGGTAAGTATAGGAAATTTCAAGGGAGCAAGTCATGCTAAGCAACCATCTTTAGATAACACAAGTTACCAAGATTTTGTACTCATAACAAACATGGAGAGGAATGAATTAACCAAAATAAAGAATATAGAACTACCAAGTAATCAGCATACTGGGATAATGTGTGAACTCCTTGAACATAATCGGCAGCAGCATCATCACTTGTCTTATTCTTTCCAAGATTGACCCCTAGAATTCCAGGACCAGCTTTGCCCCCATGGTTGGCTTCATCACTGGAGGGTGATGAAGAGCTTGAAGTCTCCAACTTCCTCTTACCATGCTGGGCACCCAATCGCTTTGCAACAGCAACAATTCCTTCACTGTTGAACCCACACCGGTTGATGATAGCACTGACGAATAAATCAAGTTAGATAAAATAGAAAATCTTAAACTCCAAACAGCATGAGTTCAAGCAATCAAATCTCTCAGAAAAACCACATTAAATTATTGACTGATTCAATCCAATGCCACCAAACAAGCAAGATCATATCTAAAAAAATGGTAGAAAGGGAGATTAGGCATTCTCACCCTTCTTGTCGCAATCTAAAGATGCGTGGCTTTGGGTTACCGTCTTGTGGAACAGGGGTTACTGAACCAACTTCCACAAAGCCAAAACCCATACCCAGTAAGCCTTCAACAGCTTCTGCATTTTTATCAAAGCCAGCAGAAAGACCTATAGGGTTTGAGAACTTCCTTCCCCAAACTTCTAATCCCAAAATCGGTGGATCAGGCCTCTTCTCCCTGGGAACCCAACCACGAGCAGCAGCTGAAACAGCTAGTGTATGGGCAACCTCCGCATCCAAAAGCGCAAAGAATGGATTTACAAGTTTTGTTGCAGAGAATAGCCAACCACTGCCAAAATTCCATGCGATATAAGTTGACGGAAAATAGATGCAACATGATGATTCATTTCAAACTCCGGCATTTTTGTGAATGGATCCATATAAATTCTCTATAAGTTAAGATCAAAACATAGATAAAAGCACATTGGCAATTAAGGTTTCAATGACAGGAAGTTTAAAATCCATAGGCCAATATCATCAAAGAACCCTTACCTATGCAGGTAGATATAAATGCACAGTTTGGATAAAGTAGCAGAAAGAATTACATAACATCTATGCTTTTAGTATTTTTCTAAACCAAAACGATCATCATCTCTGATAATAAGATTTTAGATGATTTTTCAGTTACACAACTTGAGTAAGCTGGTTAAAAAAATCAGAAACCAAGAGCAGAAGGTCCTCAATGTTTGGTTTTACTTTATGTCTTCAATGATAGCTATCAACTAAGATTTAAAAATAAATGAAAAAATATAGAGATGAAAATAAAGAAAGCTAACAAAATCTACACGGACCAGGCTATTGTGAAACAAAAGACAAAATGCTGCCACTTTTATAGCTGTTTTAGTAATAAAACTTACAAGGGCATTTGTCCCAGAGAAGCTACTTGTTCACTTTCTGATATAATTTTCAGATTGATTTTCGTGAAACCATATGACAGTTTTCTAAATCCAACAAAAAAAAAAAAGATCAAGAGGAATTGCAGATATTCCTTTAAAATTTCAATCCATAAAAAGGGCAAAAACCCTCCCCATTTGCAAAATGAAACAAGATATGACAAAATTCTTTCAGTTACAAAGAAGAGATATCATTGTAGGTCCCAAACAAGTACCAGAAAGTTGCTTCATCAACAGTACTAACATAAGCTCCTCCTGCAATAATTAAGCCTATGGTGGCTCCTGTCAACAACCTCCCCTACAATTTAAAAGAGACAATATACCTTGGATTCAGAAAATAATGTCTTCGAACAGAAAATTCATGCACACAACCAAATGAACATTACTGCAAAGTTAACGCCTCATACTGGAAAGAAAAAAAAAACTAGCAATCCAATGTTTTAAACCATCCCATAGACAACTTACAATGTTTTCAAACATCCTTCTCTTAAAGTTGGTCAAGCAACAGTACCTAGTTTGTAAAAACCCATTTAAATCCTCCCAATCACAACTTCCAAAATACCCAGTTCCCTACTTAAAGATTAGACATTTACGCATAGCTTAGCTAAACTTTTATTGCCTAAATATTTGAATAAAAAAAGATAAATAAAATCCCATTAAAGCTTCAAGCATCTCTTTTCTTTTCTATATGATAAAAAAACCATGTAACTTTTCATGCATGGAGGTAGAAAAACACTTACTTTTTTGGAAGAATGAGGGATTTTAGGAGCAGAAGTAGCAGCGGAAGAGCAATGTCGGTAAGCTCCAACGGAAGTTGAAATTACCCTTTTACGCAAGAAATCTCTAAACAATTTCCCGGCTGCCTTTGTCGCCATTAAATCAACTTAAATTGAATTTCCAACACTTAGAATGCAAAATTGCAGAGAGAGAGAGAGAAAAGAAGGAAAAAAAAAGAGAAACCTTTTTTTCTTTTAAAATTTATTGCTTTTTGTATTGAAAAGTTGAAAAGAGAGGTTAAGAGAGGTTTTAGCAGAGAAGGAAAAAGAGGAGGCTCTGAGGCTTTTAGTGTCCTTATTGAGCCCTTATTCCTCGCGCCTTCAATATACGGGAACTGTTTGCGTAATTGCTATTTTGATATATTTGCTGAAATAAAACCCCATAAAAAATTAAACTTCTCAAAGTTTTCTTTTATTTAGAAGAAAGGGTTCCCAAAAGTTGCAACTTTTCTACAGCTAGGTTTTCAATTAACATCAAGGAATCCCAATATAATATTTTTATTCTTCGGCTTAGAGCTTAGAAGGGAAGAAAAAGGATTGTTGGGTTTGGCCTTGGGCTGCTCTTTCATGGGCGTGAGGCCCAAGACAGTCCTGAAAGGTTCAATTGCAAAGCAGTTGAGAAATCAAAAATATTATCCAGGGCTTTTGCAAAGAGAGGGAACTGAAGCAAAGAAATGGCTTGTTGTCTCCTGGTGACCGACTTCACTCTCCCTCTGAAAAGCCCCAAGCTCTCTTACCTGGTTTGCTTCTTTTCTTTTCAAGACTATCTTTTTATATATATTTGTACCAAAATGCCTGCAAGAAGGCATAAAATTGTTGTCAATTTTAAAATTTTATTATAGCTGTATTTTTCTGTTCTTTCTGGCTTTTTTTTTTTTCTTTTGTTAATCTTAAAACAAGAAAGAATGTTGAGGAATGTTTGTTTATTGCTGAGGTATTCAGAGTGAGCAGCTGAAAGGAAGGTCTAATGGGTCGCAAAAAGTTTCTAGAACAATTGCTTACTATGGGCTAAAGACGCCTCCATATAACCTTGTGAGTGATTTTTTTTTTATTTTCCTCTTCTTTTATATTTTCCTTTTTTATTGTTCAAGTTGAATGGAACTTTTTCCCTGATGTTTTCATGTGTATTGACACTAATTATACGGATTAAAACTACTTATTCTTGGTTTTTATGGCTAAAAACTGTCTTGATATAGCAACTTGTGGCTCGTTAAATGGACACTTTTCATTTCGGAACTTCCTTTACCTTAGACTTATCTGCATTCCTTACTTATTTGTAGGATGCTTTAGAACCATATATGAGCAAGTATGCATTGGAGGTGCATTGGGGTGTGCATCATCGTGGCTTTGTAGAAGACCTGAATAAACAGCTTGGGAAAAGTGATTTACTGTATGGCTATACCATGGATGAACTTGTCAAAGCAACATACAACAATGGGAACCCCCTTCCTGAATTTAACAATGCAGCAGAGGTATAAAAACTTAAATTGTTTGGTTGTATTTGATATGTGGTTCTCATTTAATTTTTTTTTTTTGGTTAAAATCGATTCTTGGGTCTTTATGCATCAACTGATGAACATAATTAGTAACCATTAATCCCAGTGTTTTAATCCTAGAGTGAGTTTACATCTTTTTCTAGAATTGGATTTGCTTTCCAGAATTTCCTTCTTCTTGTGAGGAACTTTTGGTTCTGCTATGTATTACCATTCAGACGTGTGTTTGTGTGTGTTGTTAGTAGATGAAAACAGTGTGTTCCATTACTTATTTCATTATTGATGTATCCAAGTAAAACTATTGATGATTTCAAGTTTTTATTCACATTTAGTGTTAAAAAGCTGACTTTTTTCAACATTTTAAAGTAATATTAGTGTCCATTGAAGTCAGAAAAATCTAATACAAAATCAACCACTTGAGCCTATAATTGCAGGTGTGGAATCATGACTTCTTTTGGGAATCCATGCAACCCGGAGGTGGGGACATGCCCAAACTCGGTTTACTTCAGCAGATGGAAAAGGATTTTGGGTCTTTCACAAACTTTAGAGAGAAGTTTGTAGAAGCAGCTCTAACCCTATTTGGCTCTGGCTGGGTTTGGCTTGTTTGTAAGTCTTTTCCCAAGTTAATTTCTGTTTGATCGTTGATGGACTAGCACACATGAAAAAGAAAATAGTATTTCACCCTCCCATTGTTCCTCTGCCAGGTGCCTAGAGTCTGATTTCCATAGCTTGCACTCATGTAAGAGATAGGCATCCTTGCATTAGCCTTTGTGTTTTTTTACTAGGAGGGCTATCTGTCAAGATAGCACTTATGCGCATACCCTTCTTGTTGTTGCACGTATACAAAATGTATGGTGCTTCTTAATTTCCTTTTTCCCCCTTGGTTCTTGTACTCTTTTTTCTTCTTTTGCATCCTCCGTTTTTAATTAAGTACAAGTCTACAATAGTTGTTGAACTACCACATTACCACCACTTCCATGAAGTAGAGCAGCTTTAAATTTTAGTGAAAATTGTTAGTTAATCCATTGTCCCCAATTGGTTCTGGGTGACAATAGTAGCACATATTTGGAAGATGATTTTTTTCTTAGGTTGATTCTGTACTTTATTGTAATTTCATTCATTTAATTGTTTCAGTGAAGAGGCAAGAGAGACGACTTGCTGTAGTCAAAACATCAAATTCAATCAATCCACTTGTGTGGGACGACATTGTATGTCAATAACTACATATCCATATCTGTAATTTTTTGTGTTCATCTTAGAGCTTTATTTTAATAATTTTCTCTGGCACAGCCCATCCTCAATTTGGATATGTGGGAGGTAATCTCTCTCTCTCTCTCTCTCTCTCTCTCTCTCAGTCGCTCGCTCTCTGTGTTGACAGTATATTTGTTTGCAATTGCAGCACGCTTATTATTTGGATTACAAGGTATGGTACTCACTCTACTACATCTTTTTTAGTCCATTATAAGATATATTCTGGAAATCACCATTGTCCACTTTTAAACAGAATGACAGGGGGAAATATGTAAATGAATTTATGAACCATCTTGTGTCTTGGAATGCGGCAATGGTACGCATGGCACGTGCAGAGGCATTTGTGAATTTAGGTGAGCCTAAAATTCCTATAGCTTGAACTGCTTTGAGACCCGAAGCTCTAAGCCTGTGAGTAAATCGAATCAGAAAGTTTCTCACTTTGATGGCTGAAGTCAGCAATGATCTGAGGTTTTCTTACTTGTACTACATCATCAAGTTATTCAAAGCGTGCAAATCCACAGCATAGCATCCCCTGTTTGAACGAAGAGAACAGCATTGGTTGTGCTGCAACCTCTCCCCAAATTTCAAATCTTCTGCTTGTGATGGTGGTGCTGATGGCAGTCTGGCGGGGAGGGGGTTGACAAAAAGCGTTCAAACTTCTAAGCAAGACATGTAAAGGAAAGTAAAAGAAAGAAAAAGGATAGTAGGAGGGATAGGAAGACCAAAGAAGGACAGTAGGCTTTTGACTCTGTATGGTTGTTGCAAGCCTGAGACTGGTACATCCTTGCCCAAAATGTTTATTCACCTAAACAAAGAAGATGGAACAATATCAACCCTTGTTTTCATATTTTTACCAAGTTAATACTTAGCAAGGTCAGTCTCATTTTTAATCCTAATTGTGGGCAACTGTGAGCTCAAGGAAAGCTTTTGTGGCATCGTGATTTTATCATAATTAAATAGAAATTTCATCATAATTTGAAGGTTATTTTATCATTATACCAATAATAAAATTAGATCCTTCTGAGTAGTTGGTTGATTCCAAACAAAAATAAAACAAGAGAAGTATAATATACGACAATTAGATTATGGCTTTATTTATCTTTTTGAATTATAAAAATTAAAAAAAATAATAAATCAATATCAAAGTATTAAAAGAAATTCAAAGCAACCGAAAAGCTAAAGTTAGTACTTCAAAATTCTGAAATGTTGAGTTCACTGGTAAGGCGAGGGAAGATGTACTAAAACGAATCCATGTCGTCGCCTCTACGGCTGTAACTTGTCTTCAAAGCTAAAACGCAACCCTTTTTTTTTTATTTATTGTTCCAAACGACACAGAATAACAAGCAAACCGAAACAACAGTTTACAGCTTTCTGGGTGTCGAGCGAAACATCCTTTGCAATCCTAAAAACTTGGCTGTCGGAGACCCGGAGTGTCACACTTTCAGGTTTATCACTTTCTCTCTCTTGATTAAGCATGTTAGTGAAGAATTTGTCTAATTGTGTGCTCTCAGCAATCCGCCTCGGGTTTTTCTTTCTTTTCTTTTCTTTTCTTTTGTCCGATCAGTTGTTGGATGAATTGCAGTTAAGTAAGTGATTGGCTCCGAAAGTTGTTAAACACTTCAATCCTGTATCGTTCTGGTTTTAGAGAAAGTTCTTGATTTTTATGACAAGTGAATGATTAAAAATTTTGAAGAGATGGAACGAAGGAGTCAGTGCTTGTAATATATCTGTAATTTCCTATAGCCAATTTTGCTCTTTATATGACTAACCGTTCCATTCCCAGAATACATAGAATGATAGATTGTATTGTTCAGATAGAATAAGAGCTAGAAATTCAATATATTAGTCAGATAACAAACCTAAATTAGTTGCAGTCAACTTGCTTTGAGAATGGGCATTTTGGATATTAATGATATCTGCTATGATCAGATACTGGAATTCCCTCATCACAATTGCCCCCTTGCTGACAGATTTTAGTTTTTTTTTTTTTT